AACCACACATTCTTCAATAAAATAATATTTTCCATCACATCAATACTTTTTTCTTCTTTTTCAACCACACATTTCACATCAAATCACTATTCAAAAATCAATTCTTCCCCCAAAAATCCCTACCAAACACACTCCTACTTGTGTATGAATTCCGTGAACTTAATTCTAATGCATTTTTCTGTCAACTAGAGCAACCATGGTTGTCCAAAATTTCTAAAAATATTTAGTTTTCAATTTTTTATCCCTTTTTAAGTGGTTCACTAGATTAGATGTCTAGCATCTTTTGAAAATCAAACTACAATAAACTTACAAGGGTCATAGGTTGGATCAATAGTTCGATTTCCCTTTTTAGATTTTAATTTCATATTTAGGACGTGTTCTGTAGAGATTAAAATCGGATTAAAATTAAAAAACTAGCCGTTATTATTGACTTTTATTAGATTAATGAGACTCAATAACGGCTATATTTTCAATCTTTTACTATAATATGTTTGTGACCACCATTCAAAATAAACAGGATTTTGATATTTAAATTCCTTTAGTAAAAATGGGCTATTATTGGAAAGAAATTTATCCCACTGAAAACGAGTTAAATAACCACAGAACACTACAATCAACAAAGATTTAGGCCCTGTTTGTTTCAGATTACAATCATATTTTAATTTTAGTCAAAATCAAATAATCAATATTGACATCTTTCCTGGGTCCCACAACTTTTCAACCACACATTTTAAAAATTTCTACCACAATCTACTAAACTTCTAGACACGTTAATCGAGTTGAATAGCATCTTATACCGGGAGCACACACAATGGAAGAATACATTGGCATACATCCGTAATCACCCGTACAACACCACCACCAATAAATCATATCCCAACATGACGATAATCGTAATTAGGCAAATTAATTTGCAAATGTTCAGTACTCAGTAGCGAGCAAATGGTCGTTCGACCCAGAAATACGATAGGGTACAAGCTCATCAAAGCATGCTAAGTCAACATTAACATACGAATCTGTTCATGGAGTTTATCATCATGTCCTTTTCAATTCTAAAACAAACCAGTTAGTACATAATTGGTATACAATACTCACAGAATAACAAAAAATAAATAAAAAAAATTGACTTGTGGTTCTTCATAGTACTATCCAATTCTCCCCCTTCAAAAATTTCCGTTTTACAAACAAGGATAGTCCCACCTTTAAATACGATAGTCATTTAGGCCAATAAAGGGCAATTGCAATATGAACAGAAGAATAAGTTGCTAATATCACCGTTTGGACAAAAGCACATATAATTATCTACTATGACTAAGTTCGTTATATCATGACTGTAAAATTTTCGAGAAAATCTCATTTGCAATATAGTTTTATTACTGTATTATAACTTATAATATTTTCAAAATTTTCGGTACATAAATAACTCTCCAAATACATGAAACTCACAAAAATTGATGTACTATCTTAACCTGTATGTAGTATTCTTGAGCAGATTATGCAATGTAAAGCAAACTTTCCACTTCGTAGTCCTGAGGAGAAAAGGGAAAAGTATAAATCACGTAAATTTGTAATGCATCGCAACTAACTAAGAGTAATGCTAATGGATCATCACGTAAGATCCATGTCCCTTCATTTAATTGGACCTCTCATTTAATGCCACTGTGTTGCCACATAGGGTGATGGCAAATAGCATTATCCATTAACTAAAGCCTAAATAACGGACATCAAAAAAAAATAAATGGCACGAGAAACATAATATGAGTAGTCCGTTGTGACAACATTAATAGAAACAACAAATTATATACCCATATTAAGCTCCAATCATCAAGTAGCATAACAGAACAAACCAACGATCATTAAAACCCGTCATTTATTTCTAAAACTTCCACGTGAAGAAAAGGCTTTTATGTAACCGAGTGGTGCTATATGTGTAGGAGTGATGGGGAGTCGCACGACCACTTGTTCATTCATTGCAACGGTGTTCGTTGGATGTGGTATAATATTCTGGCTTCTCAACATATAGATTGGGTGTTGCCTAAATGTATTGAGGACGTGTTGCGAACATGGAGGAGAAAGATTCGTGATAAGGATAGCAAGCTTATTTGGAATCTTATCCCGGAATGCTTTATATGGTGCATGTAGAGAGAAATGAACAATCGTTGTTTTGAAGACCAAACACGGACTACAGAGCAATTTAGAGAATTTTTTTATATGACTTTGTATAGTTGGTTTAATGTCGCAACTAGTAATCTCATAGAGGGACTGCCTAATTTCAAGTTTTTTTTCTTGTTTACGTTGATAACACACTTCCCTGTGTATTCTTTTTTTATTAATAAAATTATTTGATTACCTATCAAAAAAAAACTGTTCAACACTAGATAAAGAAGAGACATTTAAAGATAACCATCCTTTTTCTTTGGCAGAGCAATATACATTTTATATTTCTTAATTTCTGTCAAATATATAGCTGCTATAGTTTTTCATCTAAATACCTTTAGTCTAGTGCTGTGCTAAATGCTTATCAAAATCTTTGGGCCACACCCACACACAAATCTCAAAAGGATAGGACTCAGTTTCAATGGAGATGCCCACTGAATACCACATCAAGAATATGGTATCTATTAAAAGAAATTCTTCAACTCCCAAATGATCAAATGGTAATCGCAATAATTCCTATGCATCTTGCTCAATTTGCTTAGAATCTTTATGATCGATAAGGTCAGATGCAGTTCTATAAAGTATTTCATGTTCTTAATACTTGTATAACTATTTGAGTTTTTAAAAAATTTCATGGTTTTTACTCAACCGAATCATAAAGAGAAAAGAATCTCTTACTACAAACTAAAGTTGCACACTTTGCACACCCAGGTTTGAATTTACAAATTTGCCATTTCATTTTTGGTCAAATTCACTCCTAAAGATAGACAAATGCCTACATTTGGCTCGTGTTTATAAACTGTTTATAAACACTAAAGCCATTTTTATCTACACATTTCGAAGGATCACAAATACTACCCCCTTATTCACCACTCATTTTTATCTATTTATAGTTTAAACCGTTTATAAATACTTCCCAAACATGCTTTAAATATGAATGTTTGTTTCCACCCATGAAACCAAGGTATCAAAGTTTGCAGCTTTCCCACTAGCATAACACACCTAATTCGAATCTGCAATTAGTTCACATACGCGGCTTGTTATCATATTCAAATATGATTTTCATACTTTTTATGGCTCAAATCAAACTCTCAATCCTCAATTAGAACCAAAAAAGCTATGAATTTTTTTATGAAGAAAATGTCATGAAAATCATTTTGATATCTATAAAATGGATAAAATTGATATATCAATGTCATGAAATAGATGTTCTCAAGATGCTCTTAATCTTATAGATTTATTTTATCAATTCTCTGGCACATCCACACCCACCCAGTCACACTTAGCTTATGTATGACCCATGTTTATAAACAGTTTATCAACACCGGATTTATTTTACACCCTTCAAGGATCTACAAGTACTACCCACTTATCCACCACTTATTTCTATCTATTTATAATTTAAACCATTTATAAACACTTCCAAACATGCTTAGAGATTAAGGCAACCATGTGATCCAGTCTACTAAGACTAGTCCATATCACTGTTTCTAATTGATAAATACGTGCCAAACTACAGTATTTTCATTGTCTGCAACTAAATTAATGCCTTTTCTCATTGGAGATGAAGAAAATGCACGTTGAAGTGGACCAATAACCAACATGAAAAATTTCTGAAAAATATGGAAGAAGAACTAGCATAATTAGCATATCATTACTACTAAAAGTCAAAGCAATAGATGCCAAAGTAGATGATCATAAAATTTGAAGAGAAAATAGAATATACATGTACCTTTTAAGAGGTTGACTATATTGTGGAGGTACAAACGGACGTATGAGCCATCAAATGCCATCAGAACTTTTCATTGAATTACTCCAAACTAGAAGTCAGTGATAAGAAAATTGTTCCAACTCACAAATTGAAAAAACTCGCATAACAGCAGCATTTTCAGTACTATGGCATGACCTATCTCATCTAGTTATCCGGCAAAGACCAAAATTTAATTGCTGTTCTGAGCTGGAGTCCTACTCTTGATCATCTGTTCCAAACACAACAAATTTTTTTGAAGTGAAATGAAAAATAAGAAGTCAATATTTCATTAAGTTAATTTCTTAGTATCTTATATTTCAAACAACGAAAGCAATAAACCAATCCCACGTACAGCAATACTGATACAGAATTAAAAAAGCCATTGGGGTTTACAATTCTTCCTTAAAACAGATCACAATATTTATCAATGAAAAGCTAGAAACACAAATGCAAAAAGAAGCAATGGAAGTGCTTGAACAAAAATTCACTGTTCAATTCTATGTTCCTCACACAAGAAAGAACTGCAGTTTACCATCACCACCAAGTCATGCACCAACAATAGAGAGAAAAACAAGAAAGCAAAAGGAAATGCAAATAGGTTAGGTAACCTTGTAAATGTACTTCTTTCGCAGTTTGATAGCACTATGAACACAGCTCTTGACTCTGATCTTTAACAAATTATCATTGAATATCTGCAAAATGATTTAAAAATCAAATAGCGTGAGAGAGAGAGATCTATAGACTACAGATGCATTCTGGAGTCTGGACAAATATATAGCAGGACCCCCTGTTCTTGAAGTAGTAAAACAAGAAACAGTAAAAATAATCCTGTAGTGTGAATAATATGAGTTGAAAGAAAGCCTATGATAGCAGATATAACAAGACAGTGTACAGGTAATGAGGGAGATATAATGAATTGAAAGAAATCGTGCAGGTCATGATGACAATGACAACCCAGGTATAATTAAAACAGCTCTAAAACCTAATGTTTAACAAAACCTTCCTAGATCCAGAGCTAACAATTCTAACAAAGGAGTTTTGGTGCAAGCCAACGATCTTGATACTCACTAAAGCATGATGTTCTAACTTTGTAACAAAGAGAAAATCAAACTAAATAACACGAACACTTTTCTAGAGCTCATTGAATTTAATTTTGGAGAGACTAAGTCAATATTTTATCATGAACACGTGCATAAATCTAGGTGCAAAAATAATAAAATGAAAAACCATGCCTGCGACAGATGAGACATGCACTACTACTGATTGCAGAAGGCAATTCATTTTAGGTCCATTGTCAAATTTGCAAATATACCTAGAGTTGCAATGACCAATTTGCTTTTACATCAAGATGCTGCATAGAGGTACTATATTCCATAATTAAGCCTAAAACAACCAATTAAAATTTAATGTTAACCCATCTACATATCTGTGAAAATTGTACATGAAAGAAAAATTAAATGCAGATTCTGCAGAAAACAAAATGGACATTCCAATTTAATCGATACAATGAATTTCAAAAGTAAAAAAACTGGCATACAGTTTACAGACTATAATATAGCATGTTAGATGACTACTAAACAGAATAGAGAACTAAATATAATCCACCTGCCTTTATTAGGTCATCAATTGAACGAGTTTCTTTAGTAATTTTCTGTCGGTTCATAATAAGAATGGCTGCTACACAGAAAACAGGTAATTCATCATCTCCATTCCTTGATGAAATAACCGTACGAATTTGCAGACGGTCATTCCTTGACCAGAAATTCTTTGCCAAGCCACAAAACGGTCTAGCCGATGCTGATGCCATCCCGCTGTTGTCAGAGATGGAGCGTTCTACAGAATTATGTTTCGATGGACCACCACAATTATTGTCCAAGCATTCTTCTCCTGAATCAGCCTCTGTTTCCTTTGGTAATAGTATAAGCAATAATTCTGGGCAAATTTCATCCA